ATAAATATATAAATGCACTTTTGACAATTTTAAATAGCACCCTTTATTTTGCGCTTAAAAAATCTGTAACATAATTAATGATTACAGTAAAATATTACGATTGAAAAATTAAACTAAAAATTTACTCACCTTTGTCTAGCAATCACAAACAAGAAAAGAGAAAAAATGAAAAACGGAAATTTACTAAAAATTTTGAAGTCTCCAAGTCAGCTGTTTGCCATGATTGCCAGACAAAGGTTTTTAAATTATTCGCAATTTTCGGCAACATTCTCCTCCCCGCAGGCGACCCCAATGTCGTTTGCGTCAACTTTGCCGATATCCAGAATGGCCAGCTTTACGGCAGGGCGCTCCAAAAAGCCTTTTGTTGTTTTGACCTTAGCTCGTCTTACTTGGCCGTCTTTCGCTACAGTTGTCTCGATAACTATGACTTTTACCCAAGTATTTCTCTTAGCCGTTTCATCAACTATCAGCACAACGTCTCCTACCGTAATGGGTTTCACTTTATTGAACCATTTGCCGCGACGCGTTAATGTCGGAAGTATCTCACGCACCCATCGTCGCCAAAATTGATTTGCAAACATCTCAGATTGTAGCAGGCACATCTTTGAATCGATTCTCTTAGCATCACAAAATGGTTTCAAACCACTAGCGCTCCCCAACAAGAAATGGTTTGGAGTTATTGGATCCTCATCTTCACTATCGAGTGACACGTAGGTTAAAGGACGCGAGTTGATGATCATTTCAACTTCAAGTAATGCAGTACGTAAACTTTCATCCGTAAAACGTTGAGATGGCGAAATTTGATACAGCACTGTCTTAATTGTTCTAATCAGTCGCTCCCACGCTCCTCCCATATGTGGTGCTGCCGGTGGATTAAATTTCCAGTCTATTCCTTGATGAGCTAGCTTGTGTTGCATAACCGAGGAATCAATGTTCTTCAACTCCTTTCTTAAAACGTTCTCGACACCGTGAAAATTCGTTGCATTATCGCTGTAGATAGGTTCTCCTCGTCTGGCAATAAAATTTCTTAAACACATTAGGCATGAGTCAGTACTAAGACTATGGGCGATTTCGATGTGAACGGCTCTGATAGTCAAACAAGTTATTATAACACCCCACCTTTTCAGTGCTTTGCGATTCTCAATAACCACCATTGGTCCAAAATAATCAATACCCACATGAGTAAATGGACGTTGAAAAGCTGCTAGTCGTGCTGGGGGAAGTAAGGCCATTTGCGGCGCTTGAGGTATTGCCGATGAAATTTTACATACGTTGCAGTTTCGTCGCATCGATTTGAATAATGGTCTTAATTTTGGTATGAAATACAATTGTCTGACCTCATTTAAAGCAGTTTCATGTTGGATGTGATAAAATCGTTCATGATAGTGCGCACATATAAGGTACGATACTCTATGTTTTGGCGGTAAGAAAATAAAATCAGTTTGAGGTTTACACTCATTCGTAAAGTTACTCGCTCTGTTTTTTACTCTTATGAGCTCATTGTTATCCATATACACCTGCAACCTATATAACGGACTGTTCCTTTCTACTATTCTCCCCATTTTCAGTGTCGACCAATCTTCAAGTAGTTCCTGTTGCACGCTTTTGTATATTAAGAGCTTCGCGCGCTCAATATGTTGAACAGTCAAAATAACGTTTGTAGCATTGAAACCGCCACAACGAGCCTTAAGTTTCCCAATGTAGAGTAGCCAATTTGCAACTACACGATACAACTTGATCCAGGATGAAAAATATTCATAATTGAAACATGGTTGTGTCTCGCGATGATATGAAAATTTTGCACGAGTTTCACTGGTCTCCATCGGACCTAAGTCCACCTCAGTTGGCCATTTATCCTCGTCTTGTAGCAAAAATTCTGGTCCTTCGACCCACCGCTGCACATATTCGGGACTTTGTTTTGTTTTCGTTGCACTGTCTGCAGTATTTAATTTCGTGGGTACCCATCTCCACTCTTCGACGGTTGATGCTTCTTGAATTTCTGCAATGCGAAACATTACGAATTGTTGAAATTGACGTGGATCACCACGCAACCACTTTAGCACCGTTTTGGAATCGCTCCAAATGAAACGCTTTTTAATATCAAATGTGTGTACTTTACATATTGTATTCATAAGCCGTGTGCCAATTACAGCAGCTTGTAGCTCCATTCTTGGAATAGACATCGGTCGCATTGGAGCGACTTTGGTTTTTGCTGCTACGATCCTCGTACTTACTCCATATTTATCTTTAATGCGGAAGTATGATACAGCTGCATAAGCAAACTCACTCGCATCTACGAATGTATGAATTTGTACATCACATGAACTTTCTGTTATGTATGGTGAATAACAACGGGGTACAGAAATATTAGCAAAAATAGGCATGCAGGCAACCCAAGCTAACCACTTGCCCATAAGATCGGGTACCAGTGGTTGATCCCAGTCGATTCCGCTTCTCCAAATATCCTGAATAAGTATTTTTAAATATGATGTGAGGCAAGCTGCCAGTCCCAATGGATCAAAAATGGACATTAAAATTTGAAGTACTTCTCTTTTAGTGGGTACAATTTCATCTGCAAAAACATTACGACGTAAACGAACGAATTTTAAAACATATTTAAAGCAATCTGACTTCGGGTCCCAATACATGCCGAGAATTTTTTCGATCGGAAGTGTGTCGATATTATTATCAAACGACTTACCCGTCTGTTCACCATTTTCGTTTAACGCAGCTAAAACTTCTGGTGCATTACTTGTCCAGCTTCTCATATGGAAACCACCTTGTTCATGTATGTTGCGAACTGCCTCGGCTAATGCTATTGCTTGTTCAATGGAATTTGTTGAATCTATAAAGTCATCCACGTAATGATTGTTTTTAATAGCGTACACTGCTCTAGGATTTTCAGCTATAAATCTTTCTGCGTTCAGGTTTCGAATAAAATGCGCTATATATGGTGAACATCGCGCACCAAAGCTAACTACATTTAATTTATAAACGCAAATATTTTTAAATGTCTCGCTGAACCATAGAAATCTCTGAGCATCAGTATCTGCTTCTTGTACTAGAATTCGATGAAACATTTCAGCAATGTCACCACAGACAGCTATTCTTCCTATACGAAAATTTAATAATATGTTTATAAGTGGTCGCAGCATATCCGGCCCCTTCAGCAAAAAATCGTTTAATGACACTCCTTCAGCTTTGGCTGCAGCATCCCAAACTAATCTATGCTTTTTCGGTTTAAGTAGATTGCGCACAATAAAAATTGGTAAATACCAAATCTTTCCACCTCGCTCGTTAATTGCTTCTGGTGGCAACTCAGTTGCGTAGCCCTTGCTGACTAAAGTAGTGATTTGTTCCTTTAGCTTTTGACACAATTCAGGGTCTCCATGCATTTTTCGACGTAAGCACTCCGCTCGACGTAATGCCATCGGCAAGCTATTTGGCAATTCGACCGTATCGGTGTTCCATGGCAAATTGACAACGTAGCGGTTTTCGCGTAACTGGCACTTGCGCATTATTTCCTCTGCTCGCTGATTCTCAACTGAAAGTAATTCTGCTTTTGGGGTAGCCACCGCGACATTCTCGTTTACTATAAATGTCTTTACTAACTCATGAAGCTCCCTATCAGCTTCTTGTCCACAGCTACATTTGTGTAGGTTTAAGTTGTTACGGTGGTTTAATTCACCACCACCAAAAACTGTCCAACCAAGACGTGTTTTCACCGCCACGGGTTCTTGCCAGCCACCCTCTCTCACCTTAAGTGCTGAAATTAAGTTTGGATTATTTACGCCGATAATCAGCATGGGGACAGCATTTGTATAACTTGCTAGAGGCAAGCCATCTAAATGCGGATACCCTTGTTTTATTTTATCAGCTGCAAAAGATTCTGCTGACATGCGTAAGTTGCTTACTGTGCGGACATTTTTCAATGGGAATTTTTTAGCTTGAGGAGCATTGGCAGAAATTTGTAGGTTGAGCCTTTTTGAGTTATTTTCCTGTCGACTGATATTACCTGTCCAATTAATGCATAGCGCATCCTGGATACCATCGTTTCCCAATTCATCGGCTAGACTTGCTTCAATAAGCGTTAGTGTTGACCCATCGTCCATCAATGCATATGTGTTAATAGTCCTTTTGGTGCCATATAAAGTAACTGGAAGAATTCGGCAATATGACCAGTTTTTATTCCGATGAAACATTGTTAGCTGTAAAAGATATTGCTGGCGTAGATTGGTCTATCCGAGAATGCAGCATGGGGTGGTGTCGTGCATTGCAGCCATCAATGCCACACACTTTATTATTGAAACAGCGACGCCTATGCTCGCCTAAGCATTGTCGGCACAGCTTCTTTTCCTTGACAATGCGCCAGCGTTGATTAGTAGGCTCGTTCTTGAATATTTCACATTCCATTATTTTATGTCCGCCGCCACAGATGTAACACCTAACTGCCGTGGTTGTCATTTCAGCTGTCTGATGTACGTGCACTCGTCCTTCCTTTTTTAGTGGTTTATCTAAAAAAGAAGGTGTAGCTACTCTACTTGCCGCATTTGCTAAAGATGAGAGCCACGCTGAAAAATCGCGAAGTGTAGGTTCGGCTATTGATGCTGAATGTAGTGCCCATTTGAGCTTCATATCTTCAGTTAATTTACTTATTAACTCATGTAATAAGAGTGGATTATTAAAATAACTATTCAGCTTACATGCCTCAATTGTTGCAACTACATTATTAATGTTGACTGCAAAGTCAATTAAATCGCCCAGCCTACCCCTTGGAGGCGGTAACTGACGCATTTTCTCAATTAACTTATTTAGAATTATTTCTGGTCGTCCAAAATACATACGAAGAGTGTTTATTATTTCTCCAACCATATTAGGCAACACCAACATATTGCGTACTACATCGCGCGCTTTACCAATGAGGCACCTCTGTAAGCGCATTAGACATTCATAATCGGAGAAACCTGCGATTTGCTTAGTTTGCTCGTACGCACTTATAAAAATGTGCCATTCTTCTGGATCGCCGCGGAACGTAGGCAAATCTCTCGGTATGCATTGACGCGCTGCTAGCTGAGACGACGTAAGCGTGGGAGCGATCTGTAAGGTATAAAGAGATGGATTATTTACTAACCTTGGTGTACTCTGTAGATGAGGTTGGCCATGTGGCGAAAAGTGTTCATCAGCTACGGCTTGATGTGCATTCAGCTGAGGCCCGACTTCAGGCAAATGTGATTCCACGATACCCTCGTCGTCACTATCTGCAGTGAGGATTTTAAATTTTTCCCGCAAATAGCTCTCCCTAATCTGCAACGACTCTTCTAGCTGTTGCAACTTAAGTTGTTTTATTCGAGTAATGTTGGCGCTGGGCTGCTGCTGTTGTCTACTATGTTGACCATCATCCTCATTGTGTTTGTGTGAGATTTTATCATCACCATCTGCATCTCCAACTTCAAGTATGGCTGCTGATGTTAAACCTTTTTGAAGAGGCAGCTCCACGTCATTATCATTTTCCATATTGGAAAGATTTTTTAAGAATTTCTTGTTGTAAAAATAAATATATAAATGCACTTTTGACAATTTTAAACAGCACTCTTTATTTTGCGCTTAAAAAATCTGTAACATAATTAATGATTACAGTAAAATATTACGATTGAAAAATTAAACTAAAATTTACTTACCTTTGTCTAGCAATCACAAACAAGAAAAGAGAGAAAATGAAAAACGGAAATGTTACTAAAAATTTCGAAGTCTCCAAGTCAGCTGTTTGTCATGATTGCCAGACAAAGGTTTTTAAATTATTCGCAATTTTCGGCAACAATTCCCTTTAACATCTTCAAGACACCTCGAAAAAAGGTCAGGACTTATTTGCTGGTGAATGGCGACAGGTTTGTTTTGAGACTCATCGCATAGTATCACCGCTTCCACGGCATGACATTGTCCAATAACTACACCCTTTTTAAGCGTTACTGGCGTATTCAGTTCATTCAAGACTCTTACTGGAATTCTCGCATCACTTCTGGTTTTAACAAGCGTTTTACCCACCAATACATTGGTATTGGTGCTGGTTGGCTCTACAACCCACAAGTTGGAGGGCCCACATCCTTCAGCCATTTTCGCCCACACAACCGCTTCAGATTTTGGTGGAATATTCTGATTGTCGTTAACTGTTACCGCCTTGACCTCTACACTAGTTTCATATCCAGTATTTAGTGGCATTTCCATATTTCCGCAAGATAGTATTTTCTTCTTTAAGTCTAACATCACTCCGTGTTTAGACATAAAGTCCAGTCCTATTATTACGTCGTCCATGATGTCGGCCACAATAAAGGTGTGATTGACCGCCATAGTGCCCATCCGAGTCTCGCAAGACATTTTACCAGCAATAGTAGCTTCTTCTCCAGTTGCTGTTCGCAGTTTGTAACCAGACAAAGTTTCTATCTTTCCCTTTATTATGTTACGGCGAATGATTGAATGCGACGCACCAGTATCGAGAGTTAGCATTAATGGACGATCGTTGACAGTTCCGTTAACTGTAATATTTGTTTTGTGGCGACTAATTTGTGAGATTGATACTGTGGGGCCAATAGTTGTAGGAACCAGTTTCCGCCCCTTGGGACTGGTTCGTTTTAGTTTAACGAGTTGGGTTAAACTAAATTGCTTATCCTCATCTCCAGCGCTGCTTCTTGCTGGTTCGGCATTAGAGCGGTTTCGCTGAACTCGACAATTGCGTGCAAAATGGCCCTGTTTTCCACAATTATAGCATTTACCCGTCGTTTTGGTAAAAGGCACCAATGTGTCTTTAATTGCCGTGACAATTCTTTCTACAACTGCTGATTCTTCCAATTCCATTTTATGAACCTTGTGAATGGGCTTAGTGGCAAGTGATGCGGTTTCTTGAGTAAGCGCATGTGACACCGTTTCAGCGAATGTTCTTTTAGGCAGTACAAGTGCCGCACGTTTAGTATCTACGTCTCGTATACCATTAATGAAGCTTTGTATTTTTACGCGTTCGATATAGTCTACCGATGCATCTGCATTTGCTAAATGTGCCAATCTCTCAACATCAGCTGCGAAATTCTGGAGAGTCTCACCTGAGTTTTGGCATCGATTTTGTAGTTCGATTTGGTATATTTGTTGCCTGTGTTGACTTCCAAATCGCCTTTCTAATGCGGACATCAAGGTATCATAATTTTCTCTTTCATACTGGGGTATGGTTTGTAATATTTCTGCTGCGGAACCTTTCAACGAAATAAATAACGCAGCTACTTTATCTTCGGTATTCCAATTATTAGCCACCGCTGTTTTTTCGAATTGAAGCTTAAATATTTGCAATGGGACACTTCCGTCAAACATTGGAGCTTTGTGCTTTGGAGCGCATATTGGTGCTGCTATGCTATGTACTTGTAAATCACGAACACGACTGCTTAGTTGTAGCACTTCGGATTTAAGCTCCTCTTCGTCCCTCTTCAGATCCCGTAGCTTATCTTCAAACTTTTCCACTTGTTGGCGTATTTGCGCATTATCACTTGTTAACTGTTCTTGCAGCTGCATAAATCGTACCTCCATTTGAGATGAATTTTCTCGCAGCTGAACCGACATTTGTGACATTGCTGTTGAGTTCTCTGTACTCATTTGTTTAATGGCAGCTAATATCGCATTCGTATCTAGTTTTAGTGAAGAATCTGCTTGTGTCGATTTTAACTCTGTCTTAGAGGAGCTTTCTGGAACTTCGAAATCAAATTCGTCTGCGTCTATACCCTCTGCCTCCATTGCATCGCGTAGTCGACTTTGTAAATTTGCCTTTGATCCATCAATAGCTAAATTACGTGCTTGTAGCTCGTTCTTCAATTGTGGAATTTTTAAATCAGCCAATTTAACCATTTTTAACACAGTTTGTTGACAATCCCACTTCTGACACCAATTGTTACGTTTTTATTAATCGTAATATATATAAATATAACTAAAATTATTAAATTAAAAATATTTATGAACTTATGTATGGTTTACAAATTATCTTTGGGCTTCCGTTCGAATCGCGGGATTGTCAACAACTCAACTACTCTTCGACTAGACAGCAGACATCTTCTTCTTTTCTGTTTTGTTATTTTCTTCTTTCTTGCCAACTCGCCGTGTTGCCGTGTTGTACGATGTTATTGCCAGACTAGATTTGTTACAATACTTATGACTACAGAAATATATGCGTTATTGAATTTATTCTCACTCCTTCTGGCCAAGTAACACTGGCCTAGGTACCAGCGGTAACAAGCCGCTTGATAACTTGTTCTTGATTGCATCAGTAGGTTTAGGATGCATGCTCGTATCAGGCAGGGATAAATACACACACTCACAAGACAAGTATTACGTCTCATTTCACCTGACGATCCTGTCTACATCTGAACGGGCTAACACATTACATGGTGATCCAGCAACTACATTGATTGAATATTGCCCATACTTCCATTCTTACATTACAAATGTAACGAACCTTTCTGGCCAGGGTGTTGCTCGCCGGATTCCAGGTCCAGTCCTACAATAAATTTATTTGATAGGAACAGTGGAAAGTGTGAATACACGGTGGACGGTGACGTTGGTGCGATGATGTGGTCCCCTTCTTCGGTGAAGTTAGTTGGTTTGGCGTAGAAATGTTAATTTCAACGCCCCTGACAAAATGTTTGAAGAAATGTGAATTTGTTTTCTATACAATATGTACGCTACTTGGTGCTAACCCAGATCCTTAATCTGTGTTAGCTTGGTGGCCAATTCTTATGTGTAAAGTAGTTTGAGCACTTGTAACCCAAACTACTTGAATTTTCTATGTTGATTAGTTTGAGCACTTGAAACCCAAACTAATCGATGCGAGAAAGTAAGAAAGTTATAATTGATTTCGTTTCTTTTTCTTTTCCTTCTGAACTTTATTAAAATTATTTCTTATATTTATACAAAAATTATTTTATAAAAAAGCTATTAAATTATGCATTAATTAACAATGAATATTAATGCATAATTCACAAATAAATAAATTAGCCTACGCTGTGCTGACATAATTATGGGCCAACATATTACACACTTTCTTCAGTGCATTGACCAACAAGAAAAGCTGATAATACAAAATTGCACTTTTCGTTGGTCAATGACTGGTCGCAGTGTTGGCCCAAATAATATGTAAACACATGTAACCAAATATCAAAATAAAAAACAAAAATATAAAATAAGCCAAGGTATTCAAAGTATATTCCTAAATTATTGTCGAAACGTGTTACATTCACTGAATTCCCTAATACCAATGGCAGGAATAATAGAGATAATAACATTGTGCACAGTAATGAATTAGACAGTGGCCGTGAATACTTTTTAGGTAGCTCGTCTTGATCTGCGCCTTCGTGTGGTGTTTTCGAATTCGTTTTTGTAAAACTTTTTGAAAGTTGTTCATCAGAAACAGGAGATTGGTTATCGGCTGGAAACAGAGGCGCTAGTCTTGTCAAAGGACTTCTTAGAGTTCCTGATGCCATTTTAACATCAACCACGCGAACAAAACCGTCATCTCCCTTATATACCTCTAAAATACGTCCAAGCGGCCATTTTAATGTAGGAACATTGTCTTCCTTGATGATTACAAGGGTACCTTTTTTTATATTTGGGTTGGCTGATATCCATTTGTGTCGACATTGTAATTCAGTGAGGTACTCGGTTTTCCAACGTTCCCAAAAGTCCAATTTGAGGCGAGAAACTAATTTCCATCTTGTCACCAAATTTATATTTCCTGATTGGACATTTGCATCTGCCATTGCTGTGAGCGGTTCTCCGAATAAGAAATGACCAGGTGTTAGTGCTGACAAGTCATTCGGATTACTCGACATAGGTGTCAATGGTCGAGAGTTCAGTATTGCTTCGACTTCTAGTACCACAGTCTCTAGTTCCTCATATGTTAGTGACGTGTATCAATAAGTGTTTTGCTGATTTGACTGCTGCTTCCCACAGTCCACCGAAGTGTAGTGCACGAGGAGGTATAAATTTAAATGTTATTCCTCTTTCATTACATTCGTTAATTATCTTCTCTTGTGCCTTGTTTGCTTGAATTGAGTCTGCAAGTTCAAGTAATTGATTGCTTGCTCCTACGAAATTTGTGGCATTGTCACAAAACAAATTTTTGCAGTGTCCTCTTCGAGCAATAAAACGTTTCAGCGATCCGATGAATGCATCTGTGGTTAAGTCGCTAACTACTTCGAGGTGAACTACCTTAGTTGTAAAACAACAGTACACAGCAATGTATGCCTTGTGTGGTTTCTTCCCTCGGATTCTGTAATGTATCCAAAAAGGTCCGCAAAAGTTCACTCCAGTGGTGAGGAATGGTCGCCCAGGTTGTACTCTTGTCGCAGGCAAATTACCCATCAGTTGTTCATAAAATCGTGATCTTACTTTAGTACAACGTACACAATGTTGTACTACTGATCTTGCCATCAATTTGCCCTTAATTGGCCAGTATCGTTGACGCATGTTAGCTAGGAGAGACTGCGGACCACAGTGCATGTATTTCTTATGGACTTGTTCCATTATTAATTTGACAATGGGGTCGTTATAAGGCAACAACATAGGATGTTTTGCGTCATACGATAATGAGACTGCATCCAAACGTCCACCAACTCTTGTGATGCCCGTATTATCAATAAAACGTGCCAGTGATGCCAATGCACTGGACTTATTTATTCTTCCATCAGATTTCATAATTTTGATTTCATTTTTGAATTCTGCATATTGAATACTTTTGATGATGACCTGATGTGCTGCATCTAGATCATCTGGAGTCAAAAAATTGCTCGAATGATCATTTTGTTTTCTTCTGGTTCTTTTTACGAATCTTAATATATACGATAATATCCGTTGAAGTCTTCCAAATGAGTTGTTGTGTCGTATTGAGTACATTAACTCTCCAGGATTTGCTGTGCCTTCAACAACAGACAATGTAGATACTTGAGTTTCCTTCTTTCGTTCAGGATCAATGAGGATTTCGGATTTTAACGCTGATGATGGTTTTGAAGGCCACAGTTCTTCCCGACCATGCAAGAACATAGGTCCATAAAACCACATACTTGATGACTGTAGTTTATGGGGTGCAAGGCCTCTTGATAAAATGTCAGCTGGATTGTGTTCCGAACTGACGTGGCGCCACTGACTTGTGGCTGTTAATTGATGAATGTTGCTTACTCTGTTTGCAACGAAAGTGTGAAACTTTGATGATGGAGAGTTGATCCATGATATCACTATTTGTGAATCACACCAAAAGAACGTCTGGTAATTTCTTATTTGTAGGTCGTTCCACAGCTGCACAAAGTTCGAGACGAGGTAATGTCAACCTTTTCAAAGGTGCAACCCGAGATTTGGCGCACAATAGTCGTACAATGATTTGACCATTCTGAAGTGTTGATCGCAAATACGCCGCAGCGCCATATGCCTTTTCTGATGCATCTGTAAAGATGTGTAATTGAATATTGGCAGGAACTTCGCCCTTGAAAATATGACGAGATATCTGCAGACAATTTACTTTTGTCAAATTGTTCCGGAACTCTAACCACTGTTTATGTAATTCAGTCGGCAGTTTTTCATCCCAATCCATCTTTAAATTCCATAATTCTTGAATAAAGATCTTTGCCATCACCACAACTGGTGACAAAAGTCCTAGTGGATCAAATAGCCTTGCTAAATCTGAGGTTGCACTGCGCTTCGTCGTGCTGCAAACAGGTTCCAATTTAACCTTGACGCATAAACTATCAGATTTTGGACACCAAGATAACCCAAGAGTTTTTGTTGTATCGTTATTATTTTCTAAATCTAAATTGACTTCTAGGTCATCGTGTGGAATTCCTTTTAGTAAACTTGGATGATTTGTGCACCATTTTCGCAATTTAAAACCGCTTGCTGTCAGTATTTTGTTTAATTGACTCTGAGTTTCCAACAATGTTCTCAGACTATCTGCCCCATGTAAACAGTCATCTACATAGAAGTTTTGTTTGAGAGCAGATGCACCGAATGGATAATTTTGCATATTGTCATCAGCTAAAGCTTGCAAACATTTGGTTGCTAGATACGGTGCTGATCTAGTACCATATGTTACTGTGTTGAGTTCAAAGTACTTTATAGGTTGACTTGGTTCATTTCTCCAAACTATAAGCTGACATTGTCTGTCTTTTGGATGTACAAGTATTTGTTGGTACATCTTTTCAATGTCTGTTGTAAACACATAACGAGGAAGACAGAATCGTAATAAAATAGATAGTAATTCACTTTGAACAGTTGGTCCGATGTGTAGTAAATCATTGAGAGATTGTCCTGATGTTGTTTTGGATGATGCATCAAATACCACACGTAACTTGGTGGTGGTACTGTCGGGTTTAAGCACATAATTGTGTGGTATAAAATAATGTGGTGACATAATCCTTTCAATATCTATTTCGGTCATATGTCCCAATTTTTCATATTCACCTAAAAACTCTACGTATTGTGATTTGAGGTGACTATCGTTTGAAAGTCTACGCTCTAGTGCTAGAAATATATTTGTAGCAATGTCTTTCGAATCTCCCAAAGCGAATCTGTCATTTATAAAAGGAAGACGTACGACGAATTATCCCGTAACATTCTGATATGTAGTTTGAGTGAATTGGGCTTCACATTGTTGTTCTGCTATTGACAAGACCTTTGAGTGAGTATCAACTTCTTCAACCTTCCAAAATTGTTCTACTGCATTTTCTAAACTATCTTCTGCAACCATTGTATAACTACCACATGTTGCAACCATTGTGTTACCATTTTGAATTTTTCCAGATACGATCCATCCGAGCACAGTGTTCTGTAGAATTGGTAGTTCCCTTGAAAGTTGTATTTGACCAGGACTTAGGAGTTGATGATAAAATTCTGCTCCAAGCAACATATCAATTTTGTCAGACTTATAGAATGTAGGATCTGCTAATTGGATGTTATTGGGCAGATTCCAATTTGAAATTTGTAAGTGTTGCGATGGTTGATTGGATACAATTTTTGGCAACACAAATGCTTCAAGTATTGTTTTGTAATCGGTCACTTTTGATTGCACAGAAAGTGTTGTACGAATTTTAGAACTCAATTTACCTATCCCTATGCCTTCGATGCAAATCGAACTGGAGCTTACTTGCGGACCTAATCTGGATGCCAGTCGTTCAGTCACAATATTTATTTGTGAACCTGAATCCAATACTGCTCTGCACTCGACTGTTCTTCCATTAGAGTTGGATGCTAAAAGTTTTGCTGTTCCCAAAAGAACGAAACTGGTCTGACCATGATTGATGGATGACATTAGAGTTGTTTGTGCAAGTGGCCTTGAAGTATTTTCAACTAACTTATGATTTTATGGTTGAACTGGGTGTCTATTTTGATGCAACAGTGTATTATGTCTTCTTTGGCATATAGTACAACCCCTGCTGGAGCATTGTAATGCCATATGACCAGGTTTCATGCAGTTTGTGCATAATTTATGACGTTTCAGTAAATCATACTTCTGTTGTATGGATTTACGTTTGAAAGTTTCACATGAAAATAATTGATGACTACTATTGCAAGTAATACATTTTGATCCTGAGTCTGTAGCTGCAAGTGCTACTGCTGGATGTCGTGGTTTGTGACTTTGTTTGTGGTTTCCATTCGTCATTGATTCGAATGCCTGAAATCTTCCTTCTAGGAACCGCAATAATTCTTTTAATGAAATTATTCTTCGGCTGTCTTCTAACGATTGCTCGAATGCTGTATGTGAAGCTTTGTCTAGCTTTCTAATAATTACGTTAACCATTATGGCGTCCCAAGATTTAACATCAATACCTTGAGCTGCTAATCCATAATAACATTCTTTTGTAACATCATGTATGCCCTTAAGACTGCTTGCTGATTCAATTGTTATATTTGGTTGTGATAACAATTTATTGAGTAATGCTGTCACCAAGAGTCGTTTGTTGTCATACCGATTTGACAGAATATTCCAAGCTATATTGTTATTTTTCTCGGAAATTGGCAGATGCCGTATGAGGGCTTTCGGCTCACCCGCCAAATTTGTAGATAGATGGAACATTTTGTGGGCTGCGCTTATTGATTGATCATGGATCAATTGTTGAAACAAATCTCTAAATTCTCTGTACCGAGCTCTGACTGCTTCTTTAATAACGCATCCATGGCGATGTTTGAATTTTCGGTCCGAAAATTCCAATGAATAAATACTTCAGCTGCTTGATGAGTGAAGTACACCTGATTATGTCCTTTCTGTAGACAGTTGACTCCTTCAAAGTGTTCTTCGTCAGGATAATGAAATGAAAATTGATATTATATCAATAATCACGTCGGGGTCACCAAAAAATGTACGCTACTTGGTGCTAACCCAGATCTTTAATCTGTGTTAGCTTGGTAGCCAATTCTTATGTGTAAAATAGTTTGAGCACTTGTAACCCAAACTACTTGAATTTTCTATGTTGATTAGTTTGAGCGCTTGAAACCCAAACTAATCGATGCGAGAAAGTAAGAAAGTTATAATTGATTTCGTTTCTTTTTCTTTTCCTTCTGAACTTTATTAAAATTATTTCTTATATTTATACAAAAATTATTTTATAAAAAGCTATTAAATTATGCATTAATTAACAATAAATATTAATGCATAATTCACAAATAAATAAATTTGCCTACGCTGTGCTGACATAATTATGGGCCAACATATTACACACTTTCTTCAGTGCATTGACCAACAAGAAAAGCTGATAATGCAAAATTGCACTTTTCGTTGGTCAATGACTGGTCGCAGTGTTGGCCCAAATAATATGTAAACACATGTAACCAAATATCATAACAAAAAACAAAACTATAAAATAATATTAATTAAATGCAAACATAAACACAATGCATTTGGCGTAGAAATTTTAATTTCGGCGCCGCTGACAAAAGGTTTGAAGAAATGTGAATTTCTTCTTTATACAATGGATTTGGTATGGCTGATAATATTCATGTGTTATTATCACCTTACCAAGTAATTTGTTAACGAAAATATGATTTCGTTATGAGCAAATGAGTAATAGAAATTTATATTTCTATTACTAACGAAATGTTAATTTCGTTATTTATAATAAATTTTAAAAGAAATGTGTATTTCTATTAAAAATAAAAAAATCAAACAAAATAGAAATCGAGATGTAAATTTCGATTCTTGGTGTTCAGCATGTGTAATATGGAGCAACCTGTTCTTAGCTCGATGTCTTGCTGAATCCCTCCTTGCGCTTTTGCTTCGCCTTTTATATACGCGAGGTAGATTTGTTTTTGTAATTGCAACGGTGCGTTGTTTACAAGCTTTATTATTGTTTTTGATGTTTTTTATTTTATTATTATATATATTTTGTTTTGTATTATTACATTATTGTGTGGTAAAATTTACGAGTGTAAATTTTATGTTACAGTAAGTTATTTGCGTTTTAAATTAACAATAAAATTAACCAGTTTTCATTGCATATATCAACTCCACACTGATTGTATGTAGGTTGGAAATTAGTTAAAATTTCCATCCTTGTATCTCCCTCCTTTTTAGGGAAAGTAAAGTATGACGGGACGCGCTACCTGTTAGCATGGTTTCTGTTCCGTTTCTTTGGACTTTTGAATATTTTATAGAATTTGTCTTGGTCTGTAGTATTCTGATCGTTATCCTGTTGAAGTTTACTTCGGCCTTTTACTTGTCGTTGCTGATTTTGCGAACTGGATTGTTCTTTTTCTAGATGTAACTGCAGTAGTTGTTCTTGTTGCATAGTGCCTTTCACCAAAACTTCTTGTGTAATTGGTAATAGTTGCCGCCATGATTTACTGATACTTTGTTCTTTGTTCTTTTCTTTCTCTTTTATTTCTAATTTCCAGTTGCTTTCTTTTTGTATAGAGTTTTTTTTGTTTTTTGTTCAGTCAAGGCTAACAATTTTCTTAATATAAATGTTTATAACTATTTTACACTTTATTAATGTTTAATTATCAGCTTTAATCAACTTAGTTAACATTAAAAATACAAATAAAGTTATATATTGAATACTAACACGTCCTTAGTTATTATAATATCATTTCGTACTTGAATTTTACTTTCACAATTAATTCAAAACCTTCAGTAATCGTGCTAGCAATTAGTGTGTTTCTTTTAACTCTTACACGTTTAGTTTTCCATTTACTTTTATTTAAATCATTTATTTTCTTTTAAAAATTTTTGCAAATATTCTTGTTTTTTAAATTGCTTCTTCGAACCGACTTTTTTAACCCACTCTCCCAAAACTGACCGTTAAAAAAAAACTACTCACAACTGAACCCTTAGTGTTGCAAATTGAATCTTATATACCTAAACTTGATGCAATACCTGACCTTATAAATGCCCTAGTTACCTCATTTAGATTTTTTAACAATTTCATAATATTTTTTGCTAAACTCGCAAAGTGTTTATTGTTACAAGAATGCCCTTCATATTTTTGCAATTCTTCCGCATTTAATATTTTTTCAAAGTCACTTACATCACGATACCAATTATTAACCAAATACCAAAATCAGCATTTTTTATCGTCGAACTGACGAACTGCTGTTTTGGTTCTGGTCAACAACCGCCTAGATGTAAACCACCTTGCCTACTTTTAGGAAAATGTACGATCACGTAAGATCGTACACACTACATTACGGAAGAACTGCCAAAACCCGTGAAATTAAATAAAACAAATATTTAACTCACAACAGCAAATACTTCTTTCGCAAGCTGCAACACAGCATTTAAAGTTATTTCAATAGGTTTCCAAAAATAAACCTTACCCGTTGAGTCCATAGATTTCAATGTTTGAAAGTATTGCAAAAACTCTGTTATGTAATTGAAACTGTGGCAGCATTACATAAAACGACTAAAACGTAAAACACTGTGACAGCATTACATAAAACAAGTAAAACGTAAAACACTGTGGCAGCATAATAAAAAAGAAAAAAACACAAAATAATGCTAGAGAGGTTTTTTGGACAGTGCTCTTTTGACCTACTTGGCATGCATTTTCGTAGTTGTTTAAACAATAGTATTGGCGGTAGAAATCAGTAATAAAGTCATTGAAGAAAATTTGTTTAAATGTTTAATAGTGAACAAAGCAAAATCGAACAAATATAGTGCAGTTCAAAGCAGTTCAGAAGTCAATTCAGAGCAGTGTTCAGTGTTCCGCACACGTTGCGCAGCAACATTAAATTATCAAAGTTAATGGTTTAAAATTTTGTATATACTGTGACGATTTTTTCCAACACGTCACAAATAAATTATGATAGTTGAAAATAGCATGAAGTTATTGTAGTAAACAAATAAAAAAACCCAACAACAGAATTAAACTATTTTCAGTCGAAAAAAATTATATATATAGCATGAAGTTATTATTATTATTGTAAACAAACAAAACAATAGAATTAAACTATTATTAGTAAAACCAAACCCACGGAAAAAATATTAGTCTAAGCTATGAAAAAAATATATAAAGTATTAATAAAGTAAAAGGAATTATTTTAGAAAGTAAGATAGTAATAAGTAATTATAAATTATCATAGAATTTAGTTATCAAAATTAAAAGAAACAATAAATCTCTTGAAAATACAAATTAAGTAATAATACTTCCGATTTCTTTGAGGGTAATTATTTTGCCAAACTTTAATAATAAATATGCAGCAAACAACAACAGCAGAACATAGCGAGATCAGTAGCAGGCAATAACAACTTAAAAGAAAGCTACACAGTATGCACTCAGAAGTCAGTTATCCCGTTATATAAAATCCGTATAAAAGGAGAAGCAAAGAAAAACACAGGGACTTGGCCACAGCACTTCGAGCAGTGCACATCACCAGAGGGACTTGGCCACAGCACTTCGAACAGTGCACATCACCAGAGGTTCAATCACAGGTCGTGAAGCAGAACACTTCACAAGGTAATCACAGAGGTAATTATTAAGTCATAGAACTGATTCCTAGCAACACAGCCCTATCGGTAGTGTTGTTTCCTAATCCCACAGTGTAGCCCAGTCGGTAACACTGAACCTAGCAACACAGCCCTATCGGTAGTGTTGTTACCTAATCCCACAGTGTAGCCCAGTCGGTAACACTGAACCTAGCAACACAGCCCTGTCGGTAGTGTTGTTTCCTAATCCCACAGTGTAGCCCAGTCGGTAACACTGAACCTAGCAACACAGCCCTGTCGGTAGTGTTGTCTCCTAGCCTACCTTTAGTCATTCTTTTGTGTTCTCTTATTTACAGGAGTTATATTAATTGTCCGTATTTATAATTACAATAAAATATCATTAGTACTTAAGTATAACTATAAATATTGTAATAAATTTATTTTGAGAAAAATAATAAAAACCACGAAACTAACGAAAATAGCCCGTTTTTTAATTACGAGAAGATTCAGGGTTACAGAGAAAAAAATATTCTTGTAACGACTCTGGGATCCGGCGAGAAAAACCCCGGCTTAAGAAAAAAAGGTTCTTTACAAGTGGCGCCCGAGCAGGGACCCTGAATACAACGTAGAAAACTTCGTGATATAATAATGAGTAAGGAGGATCCGATTTTAGCACGAACCTGGTTGGTCGCATCACAGAAGTCTTAACTCGAATGAAACGAATTTAAGAACTCTGGAAGGAAAAAAAATATATATCAACGTATATCACACGAGGAATACAAAGGGGCAGATATGAGTCCTACAATGCGCTCATCCATTCAAACAATAGAACATGTGGAAAAATGGTGCTTCAGATATGACGGTGGTGAGGATCCATTGAGTTTCATCGAACACATAGAAGAACTGGCAGACAAGTATAGCATCGATGTAAACTTAATTCCACGCACAATGCCCTTACTTCTCGAAAATAATGCACTAATATGGTATCGCAACAACAATTGTCGTTGGCAGTACTGGACACATTTCAAGGTTGATTTTCTAAAGTTTTTTATCCCGTCTAGATTCTTTAAGCAAAAACAAAAACTACTGCAATCCATAGCCGTCGAAGAACAACAGCAGCAAGTTAATCAACAACGACAGCCACAACAGCAGACTAA